TTTAAACACTGATACGAGGCTAAGCCTGAGTAAATGAGTCTGTAATCAAGGAACACAGCGGTAATTTGGAACTCGAAAAGGGTCTATTTCGTACGAGGGCTCTGGCATAATCCTTTTTTTTGAGACCAGGATTTCTTGAGCTTCCGGTATAGAAGCGCATGCGTTCAAAGACAAACAGTATCGGTACTTACAGCAGGAGTAGATAATTTTTTGCCATAAATATCATCAAATTCGTATAAACTCTCCCATTGTTGGGATTCATACAGCGGCAGCTTGTACTTGGACATCATTGCTTGTTTTCGTACCATGATATCCCACTGAAAATAGTCAACCAATAACCATGATAAGACGAATCAAGACGATGTTTTTTTGATAACTATATACACCTAATTGCAAAAACGTAGTCGGGTTCGATAAGAGGTCATATCATCGAAGCTAAGACCGAAAAGGATTTTGGGTACTCCGAAATGTGTATGATATTTGCATATAGACATGTAAAAATGCACAGTAGAGCAAAGTTGGTCGACCTAGATTAACAACATGCCAAAGCCATGATGCATAAAATGTGCACAGGAAGGGAAAACTGCAATAAGCATGAAATTAGCATAATTGTTTGTCTTCCCATGCTCCCCTTCGGTCTTAGCTTTGATGATATAACCTTTTTTTGAACCCGACAACGTTTTTTCAATTAGGTGTAAACCAGTTCATAGTTTAAGAATGGTTTTCAGTTCGCATGCGATTTTATCCCGAATTTCTCACCTTCTTTTGTTTAATTAATAACGAAAGAAGGTTTAGACAAAAGAAGGCGAGAAATTCAGTATAAAATCGCATGCGCAGTGAAAACCATTCTTAAACCATGGACTGGATTATTGAGAGAGGGGGTTTTGAGAATTGTTTGCTAGCAAACACAGTAACCATTTCAATTAAGTCAGTACCTCATGTTTCCCACTCATACGATAACCATTCTACTATAACGTTGTTGGATGGTAAACTGACCGTTCGAATAGAGTGGTTTTCAAAAACCCGTGAAGTACACTTTAGGGTATTACGCTTTAATACACTTTATTGTCCGCATTTTCTTTTGATTTTCTTTTGTGTTTTCATTGTATTACAATTTATTACACCTTAGTTATTACACTTTGTTTTGACGGGTTTTTGATAACCACTCTATTGCGAAACGACGAAACGTCATGTATGACCTCGTTTTCGTGCACTTGTCAGACATTATGAGAACGGTGTATTTTGTTACTTTTGATTGTTATATGACATCGTTCTTTTAATTAAGTTTATTATATATTTAGGATAGTACGCGCGCGCTGAATGGTCGAAAACTGTGCTTTATTAGTGAACAGAGCACAGTGCTGACGCCATCTGCGCGCGCTAAGTGCTGCTATATCCTGCGACCGTCTTTTTTTTTTGCGTAAATAAATTCAATACCGAAATAAAATTAGTAACTATTTAATAAAACGAATAAAACAGCTTTTTCCGTGCTCCGTTTAGCAATAAAGCACTTAGGAAGCGCTGTAAGCACTCAAGAAGTGTGAGAAGCATTCGCCTACGGCTCGTGCTTCTCACACTTCTTTCGTGCTTCCTGCGTGCTTTATTACTGAACGGAGCACGGAAAAAGCTGTTTTATTTGTTAAATATATAATCTTACTTTACTATTGCCAGTAAAAACCTCTTCCTTGGGACAAAAACTGATCTGAAATAACAAAAACAAAAAAAAAAAAAAACAAATTACGGATTCATAATTTATACATAGAGGATATTACATGGGCGCGCGGAGATACGAAATTTATCTTCGAGTGTTGAAAAGATCTCTCACAAGTGAGCGCAGCGAACGAGTGAGAGATTTTCAACACGAGAAGATAAATTTCGTATCTCCAAGCGCCCATGTAATATTCTGTTCATTATATAATTATCCATAAAATCAACTTAATAAGCTTTTTATTTTTATAAAAAGTTTTTATTTATAAACTAATAGCTTAAATACACATGGAAACGATATTTTCACATGTGAAAATAACACGTTATTTTCACATGTGAAAATATCAGGAGAAATATAGGTATTTTATGGATAATTATATGATAAATTTTAACGGTAATAGAAAGTAAAATATAACTTAGAAATTATAGAATGAAAATTAAATCAAGTTAAATTTAAAAAATAAATTAATTTATGAATTCAAAAAGAAGGAATAAAAAAAATAGCTTAGTCTTTATAAAATTTCGGTGAAATATGAATAAAAATCTCAGCTTAAGCCAAATTTTTTATAGTTGCCTAGCAACTCTTTGCGGAGCCAACGCCACGCGAAGCAACAGGTGGAGACGCAAAGAAGCGAATTGCGGCGTTTGAATTTGACAATTTGAATAAAATTAGAAACGCATAAAAAAAACTATGTATTTAAAAAATTAATTACAGGAGATTGGCAATCTTAATTGGTGTAATTTCAATGGTTTGAAGAGGAATTTTCTTGACGGAAAAAAAAAAGACAGTTTTTTTAAAACGAACGTTAACTGATGGAAAAAATTCTTCCAGCTTTGTAGTTTTAAATATTGCTGGAAACGTCAATATTACCTTAATTAGATTCAATAAACTTCAATTATCAATCTGCTATGGTTTGAATAAAAAGGTAAGAAGATTCACCGATTATCAGAATCATCTTCGAAATTTAATTTTGCTATAAAAAATGGATGGCATTTTTAGAATTTAATCAGTAAAACTATGGTTTTCAAATCGCAAATATTTTGAAAAGCTCTACAACTTTTTCTCTCCTGAAGCGCAACGCGACCCGCACAATTCGATTTTCCCCCCTGTTATTGCCAGCATGAAAGAGAAAATCTTTAGCGTCTATCGCAATGAGAATGCAACAGTTTTCACGAAAAGCCCTTTTCGTATAGAAAATATTTCCAAAAATTCTCGACTTTTATACACCTTTTTTTTTTWAAAAAAAAAACCTCGGTCTGAAATCTAATACCGAGTAACACGCTACGCGATGTATTATATTCAATGCCGAAAAATTTAGTTTCCTCTTAGATTGGAATATGAAGCAAGACCTTTGAGTTGGGAGTGTAATTTTTCGTATTTTAGTCAGAAAACATAAAAGCACAAATATTTCGTTTAGTCTCAGGGGCCCATTTTAGGTCTCCGATCGACAACGAAATAGAAATAAGGAAGGGAAGAAGAAAGAAAGGAAGGAAGGAAGCAAGCAAGCAAGCAAGCAAGCAAGCAAGCAAGCAAGCA